CTTGCCTGCTGTGCCGCGGCTGCGGCCCCCGAGGGAAGGGGCAGGAGGCCGCTGCGGGCAGTCCGCGCCGTCGGTGCAGCTGCGGTGCTGGTGGCTGGGTCTGGACTTCGCCCCCGCAGCTCTCTCTCCGTGGCTCCTTGGCTTGCCTCAGGGCTCCTCGCTGGCACTCTTGAAGGTTCACCTGGAGTTTCGGTGAAGTCCTCTATCCTCTTAGGCTCGAACCAGTTAGTAGCATTTGGTGTGTGGAAGATTGGGTGGAAAACAATGTCTTTACAGCTCCTGAGGCTAATGTTCTCTGCTTGGGAAGAACAAGAAATATCAGTGGTCAGAGTAGTGCGGTTGGCAAGGTAGACAACTGCTTCGTTTTAAGAGTTTCCAATGACTTAAACGTACAAAAATATTGAAGGTTAATTTGTGTTCTCCCCACTTTGTGACTGGCCTGCTGGCAGCCCTGTGCAACGTGAGTGCTTGTTGTCATGGGTCTGTACTAAATCACCAGCTAGTTTTGTTGGAAGAAGCAGCAACTCTTTTTCTTGCTACCAGCGAGTACAAAACAAGTCTGGTAACATATATCTGGAGAATTCCTTAGCTTATTTCCGAAGTGTTTGGCTCTTTCATTGTCTACTGAAACGTATTTGTACAAACGATAAAAAGAGCTCCAAAGCGGCTAATCAAAGCTTATTTTTCCAAGGTGATCGCTTGCAGTGTTACTCTGGGCTCAAACAGAATCTCCTGTACCTTTAACCCCTTTATTTTCATCTTTCTAATGCAAAAAAGAAAAGAAGCTCTCAGGATAAGACATGTCGTGGATCAGAGAAGGTGAGCTGACCATCATAGAGAGATTTTGTGCCAACGTTATTAAGGTAAGGAATGAACCTTAATGAACGTTCTGTGGTAGCCTCTGTGACAGTTCTGCTTTGGAAAGATGGAGTTGCTAGCAAGGTTGCATATTAATGCTGGCACTGAATGTACCTATCTAAACAGCATTCAGGGCTGGAAAATTACTTAGGCTTGATCTGCAAATGGCAGTGCTTGCCAGTAACGAGCTGAGATTCCCAGGCTTCCGGTGTTTTATGCCCTTGCTGATCAAGGCAGGGCAGGGGAGGAGGGAAAGAAGCAAGATGGTCAGAATATGATTCTAAGAAATGAAGCTGAGTTTCTGCTGAGTGAAATCACAGTCCCCTGATTCCAGGAAAATTCTCTGTGCTTAACAGTCTTGAAACTGGTGCTGCTGTCCTTTCCTCAAAAGGATCCATGCGGGTTTAGTGAGGTCAGCAGAAGGAAATGTTGCCCTTAAAGGGGGAAAAGTCTCGTGACTTTATCTTCGCTTAAGTTAATCGTGTCTGCAGCGATACTCTTGAAATTTGAAAGTGAAAATGCTTAGGATGACAGTAGCATGAAACTCCCCTGCATCCTCTGTGGCTGCAGAGAGGTAGCTGTGTTAGTGCTGCTCTCTCCTGAGTCTCTGTCACCTGATAGAATAGGGAAGAGCAGAGTTGGTTTTCATCTGAGGCAATTGTCAGTACTGAAATGTTTTAGAGCGAGACTAAGCTAGGGTTACCAAAGAGGTAATTAACGTCTTACTCTCTTTCCAGCTCCAAGATTTAAGTGGGACTTACCTATTGCGCTCCTACAAATAGGTGCTGCCACCAAGAACAGCGGGGCTAAACTGTCTGTGAGGCAAGCTTGATCGTTAGCCTTCTGGTCTGTGTTGTCTTTCCTTATTTTCTAGGCAGGTCCCATGCCCAAGCATGTTGCCTTCATCATGGATGGCAATCGCCGTTATGCCCAGAAGTGTCATGTGGAGAGACAGCAGGGGCATTCGCAAGGCTTTGATAAACTGGCACAGGTGGGAAGGGTGTTTGCTGCCTCTGAGTTGGAAGTTGAAAATTTGAGCTGTGTTCACTAGCTGACTGTCTGCCGCTTTACTGATGCGCTATGTTTGTTCTCTTCGCTGGAATCGGGCCTTGTGCAGAGCTAATTCTGCTTCAGTTTGTGAACCAGGCTAGTCCTATGGTCGTGCTCTCTCTAGAGTCTGTGCTGGTAGAAGTTAATAATGGATTAGAACTGTAAATAGAGATATTTTTCTCCCGTCCTTTGAGATGTAGCTGAAATTTTCATCATCAAGCAGAATTGATAAGCTGATCGGCTCTTGATGTCTTAGTTTCTTGTGGCCCAGACTTACTGTAGTGGGGAATCACAGGAAAGTTCTGGCAACTGAAAAGGTGGGTCTTGCTGACCTGTCTGATTATCCCAGTCAGCTTCTCTGATCTTAGTTTTGAATTATTTTTTGTCTCCTTACAGACACTGCGGTGGTGTTTAAATCTGGGTATCCAGGAAGTCACTGTTTATGCATTTAGTATTGAGAACTTTAAACGCTCCAAGGAGGAGGTGGATGGACTAATGGATCTGGCAAGACAGAAATTTAGCCGCCTACTGAAAGAACAGTAAGAATCCTCTCATGTTGGTTTCCCACAGGGTGGAGCAAAGGCAGAACATAAGAGATGTTAAAGGAATATTGCAACTTGTGATAATGGTTTAAATGAAGGAAGCATTTCTCTACCTGCACCTGGAGACTGGTGTTCAGGGTCTGTGTTGACCTAGATGTGATGTATAGCTCCTGAGCATATGCTCTGGGGGGTGCTTATCCACCTGAAGTAAATCAGTAAGGCAGTGAGGGAACACAACTGGAATAATGGGAGGGAAAGGATAATGTGTGTTTGTTGGCAGAACTTGAGAAGGTCGGGAGTATCTGAGCGCTGCAGTCCGTTATGACTCGGAGGCCAAGAATTTGCAGTCTGTGCTAGTTGCCCTGTTTTCTACCCGATGTGGCCCTTGATCGCTAGGGAGGTTGTAGCGCAAGTCAGACAGCAGCGGGAACCTGTGAAATCCCATGGATTGTCCTGTCCTCTTGGAATAGCAGACATGGATGACTTCCCATCTCAGCTCACTTCCATTTCACTCTCCCCTTGTTGATACTTCTGGTCTAAGGAAAGATTAGCGTATTTGTGCTGTTGTGTGATGACCATTACTCACTGTTTTCTGTGCTCTTAATTTTTGGTTAGTTAGGTGTCTATGGTTTTACTTTGCTTTCCAAGTATGGGTTTCATAACATCAAGTAGGAATGCCTAATCTGTGATCGTTATCTAGTCCTTTGATTAAGTCTGTAAATCAGAAATCTGTATGCAGAATGATCCGTTTCCTTTCAGTGAACGGCTTGGGATAATGAAATCTGAGCCAGCTGTGAGCATCTGAAAAATATTTGGTCACTATGCCTTTTTCTAATTGTTAATCTTGTTATAGTTATACCTACTGCATGCCTACTATTTTCGTTTGGCGGATGTTATGCAAGGCAAACCTGGCCCTCATGCAGTAGGGACAGATCTGTCTTCTGCAGTCCTCACTCTTGTTGTTGGCTGTAGGGAGAACTTGAAGAAGCATGGTGTGTGTATCCGTGTCCTTGGGGACCTGCCGCTCCTGCCACTGGATATTCAGGAGCTGATTGCCCAAGCTGTGCTAGCAACCAGGAACTACAACAAGTAAGTAATCACGCTTCAAAGCGGCTGATACCTGATGCCTTCCTCATGTACCTGAAGGCTGGGACTTGGCAGGCACAATACGGACTCTTTTTGGTCCTACAAGCGTATAGATAGTCTTCCCTCTGCCATCTGCTGAGTCTTTCTCTAGGTTAGTTTCTTTAACGTCTTTCTCTTTTCAGATGCTTTCTAAATGTCTGCTTTGCATATACATCGAGACATGAAATCAGCAACGCTGTGAGGGAGATGGCCTGGGGGGTGGAACAAGGACTGCTTGAACCCAGGTAACTCTTTATCGTTCTATATGAGGCTTCGCAGAGCAAGACTGCCTGCCTTACCTCCTACGCTTACTAATAACCTCCCAGAAACCAAATGGTTTTTAAATAGATCTTATTAAACCAGTCTGACTGGAACAAATGACTTAAGTTACTCTGCAGTTGTTTGGTTTTTATTATTTCAATTACCATGGTGATGGGTTCACAACCAAGACAGAAGAGAAATTAGGTCTGTGTCTTAAGATAGTTTAAATGGGAAGGCAGATTTTATGCCACAGTAATTGGTTTCTTGGCTGGCAGTCTTAGCTATGAGGTCAAACAACAGATGAATCATGAATATTGAACTGTTCCTCCACCCTGGAGGAGATGAAGCAGTTAGCACTCGGCTCTCTCTGCTGCAGATGGAAGTGTTCAGTTTGGTTCTGCTAGTGCAGTATGTTTTTAAAGAGCATCAGGGAGATGCTCTGGGGGCTAAAACAGCATTTGAAATGCAGACAGCAGTGTCCATCCAGAGGAAGCTGATGACTGGCTGTGGTACAACTGCAGTCACCCAATTTTAATCTGTAGTCTCGTATTTGTAAAAACCCTCAGTAATTCTGATCTAGTAGTGCCACCTCCATCAGGTCGTGAGAGTAATCTTAACAGAATGCATCTGTCTTCCTTAGCGATGTGTCAGAATCATTGCTTGATAAGTGTCTGTACACGAGCAACTCTCCTGACCCAGACCTCCTGATACGAACCTCTGGAGAGGTCCGGTTGAGTGACTTCTTACTCTGGCAGGTAAAGTCTTTGACTTCCCTCCCTCCCCCCTTAAAATTTCCTGTCTTTGCATAGGAGAGTGTTCTACTGGGTCCAGGCGTGAGCTGATGTGAGGGCTTTTAAATGCTGTCTGCCAGGTTGTAGGTAACTTATTGAATGGACTGAGCGTTGAGGCAAACTCCTCTGAGGAAGCTCTGTTTCTTGCAGTTTTGTGATCACCTAAAATACCTTCCAGCACGACAAGCTTGAAAGCGTATTGTCCTGGAAACACTTAATAAGAAATCATAACTTAGTCTGGTTCACAACACCCAAGGAAATCTTGAAGCAGTCGTCTGTTGTTCCTCTTTTCATATTTAGGTAATTCCTCATTTGTTTGGAAAATTCTTGGCCTCAGGTAGCTTAATCTGACAGCAAGTTTCCAGCAATAAGGAAACTCCAGGAAGACTTTCTAGATTCCTGGAAGAAGAATGTGTCAAATGTTGTTTCTGTCAGTTGTAGGTGTTGAAGACTTACCCTGATAACATATGTATAATGTACATGACTGACTTGTCACCATTTCAGAACTTTATTTGACTTTGGTAATGAAACGAGACCCTCTCAGAACAGGTTTTGAGGATGGCAAAGTCAAATTAAAACGCGTTAGGCTGAGACATAGTAAGTTCTTAACGCATGAAGAACTTTCTCTTTTCATGGGCTAGGCAATATTGAATTGCTTGTAACCCAGACTCTGCAGAGAACACTTGAGTCAAACTGCTTTACTTAAAGTTAACATAATTTCTTTTGCGATATGTGCGGTTTGGAGCCAGCAATCAATTGCCTTTAAGCAGCCACATCAAATGTTCGTATTCCAAGCTATTTAATTTGCAAGTTCACGGAAGCTGTCTGGTCTGAATTGCGATTGCCCAGCAAGGCATCCTTCTCTCCTCCCAATATTTCTGGGCGCATGTGCACCCCAGACGGGTGTCATGCTGCAAACTAACATTTCTCTTGTTCCTCGTGTTGGTAGTCCTGGCGGGGATGCCTTGGAGACTGAGCTTGTATGTAACTGATGAAGCATTACTGGGCAACTGAATGCTTTGTGTTTCTGGTTGGCAAGAGGCCCCTCTCCCAAGCCACTGATTACAGCTTGTTCAACAGAAGTGGTAGAGGAGAATGTGTGCCTATGCTCCCACCCTGCCAGGTCACAGTCCAAAGCATTAGTGCAAATATCCCTTCAGTGGCAGTGATCTGAGTCCTGACAACCGCAAAGTAGAAAATTGTGCTAGTCAGGGTGATTCTGTGACATCAAAATGTCCTTACAGTGTTTTCTTGTGTAGAATTGACAGATTGTTCTGTAGCATTACAATTTTTAAAAGGAATATGCAGGGTTCTTCTAAGTGTTATGTTTTGTACTAATGTTTGCTGAAGGGTTATCTGTTTATCTGAAACTTTGAGGGAATGGATGGCAAAAGTAGACTTTTAACTTGAAAGCGTCCATGTTGCAGCTCTAGGATATCATCAGCGCAGCACAACTCTTAGATTCATTGTGTGGTTTAAATGCCGCGAGTGGGCAGTGAGGAATATCACAAGATGTCGTTTGGTAAATGTCTCAAATGTCGTGTCCTGACCCTCAGTTCATCTGTTGCTCCCCTAACTCAGCCTTTGATAGTCCAGGATTACTATTTTCGTTTTGCTGTAGGTCTGTTGTGCTTGAGCTAGTAGAAATACTTCTATGGAGACCAGCGTAGCATTTGAAAGAATTCTGCTGGGTACTTGTACATGAATGGATGACTCTTGTCCCAGCATTAAAAACAAATTGGGTAGAAAGACTCTACATCGTACGACTTCAAAGTATCCTAGCTGGTTTTTATTTCATTTCAAGTAGAATCTGATAACGCAGCCTAAGTTAAGTCTTTGTGGAGAAACTGGCATAATTTGACTTTTCCTTCACTAGATGATTAAGTTCTTGGTGATCTTGTTTTCTGCAGACGTCCCATTCATGCCTGGTGTTTCAGTCAGTGTTGTGGCCAGAATATTCCTTTTGGAACCTGTGTGAGGCTATCCTTCGGTTCCAGGTGAACTACGGTGCTTTACAGGTAAGGCAGCCTTAGGGAGGTGGAGAGCCCAACACTGCATGTTTTCTGTACAGCGGCTCTGTAATATGCTGGAGTTCAGGTGGGAGTGTGTGAAGTGGGAACAGAGGAATTATTCATGTAGTGCATTTAGTCAAGATCTTGTTTCAGTAGCAGCCTATGCCAGATGTGTGGCTTCTCCTGTGCCCCTGTGGCTTGTTACAGCGTCTTAGGATGTGGACAGACTCCTCTTCTTTCTGGAGAAACTAAAGGTATCTGAAGTTGCCAATATCTCCGTGCTCATTGCCATTCCACCAGTTGTAAGTATCTGTCCCCACTCCTCAGCCGGCAGGACAGAGCAAGTAAGCACTCCTGATTTGCTACAGGGCAAAATCAGCCAGTTTAACTCGATCTAATTCACTGGTGGTTTAAGCAAGTGCTGAATTTACTGTGGAGTGGGCAGGGAGAGTCGCACACTTTCCCTCTAGTTCTGCTGTGTGTAGGGTTGCAGCAAGTGGGTTTAGGATTTCCTTTCTGGGAACTGAGGTGAAGCTGCCTGGGCCGCAAGGCTGTGGACTGCTGTCCTCCTCTGGATCTTGGTGTGCTTGTTGAGGTTATTCCCACTGGTGGTTGTCAGTGTTCCTTCCCTTCCAGAGCTGCTGGTGTGAGGTCTTCCTGACCTGGTTCCGCCAATTTGGTAATAACTTGCTAATCTGGCTATTTTAAGAGGGACAAGTTTGGGAGCTGGAGCTCCCTAATGAGCAGGTCGATAGGGAAACCTGGGCAACGGTGGCCTGTGGCACAGGGACGCCAGCACCTGGCTGGAGAAGGAGCTTGGTGTAGTGACTTTTACCTCTTCAACCTTCAGGAACCTTCTTCACCTCAAAGATTATAAACTGTGGTGGTTGCAAGTTAAATTAGTAAGGTCTGCTTTTGCTACATGGTAGTCCTAGGGGAGGGAATGCAAATGTTGGCTGGCAAGCCACCTCCATGGAGGTGGTCCCTCTGGGTCTTTTGTGGTGCATGGGCAGAATTTCGCTCCATCCGAGGTGGAAGCGTTATGCCGAACAGGTTGATTAGCTGTGTATTTCAAATAAGCGGAGCTACAGCAATGGAACGCTGTCAATTCAGTGGGCTTTCTGTAGCTAAGGATGTTTCTGCCCTCACTCCCAGCCCAACAAAAGTTAATTTACAGTGTCAGAGCATAGACCACTGAGTTGAGCAGGGAGGAAGTGTGCTGAAGAGTGGAACAAGCCCTCATTAGAATATGTGTTTCTGACATTTTGCTTGTTTGAAAGGCCAGTATTCCCTTAGTGTGTGCGCATGTCAGGTTATATCACAGTGACCACAGTCTTATTTCATTTTAATGAAGGCTTAGTCTACCTGCATGCAGATTAAATTCCTCTGTTAGAATCTGTGTCTGCAGGGTAGGATATGTGCAATGAGAAGAAGCCCCAAAGCGTTGCTCTGCAATACATTTCAAATACTTAGGGGTAGACAGAAAGATAGCAACCACCCTTTCCTTTCTCCTGCCCGTCATGCTGTGTCTTGAGCTGGTACGTTATTAGATCACAGGCATTTGAGAACACGGAGTCTGCTCTTGCTTTTTTGCTGCAGCCAATTAGCTCAGTACCTGATCATCAGCTCAAAGAATTGCCCCATAAATCGTTGTTCTGAATCCCCTAAAACCTTTCTACTGCCATGTGAATAGGTTCAAAGATTCTGTGATGGCACTGGCAAGGATAGCTTGTGTGCGAGTCTGTGATTTGAAAGTGCTCTTCTATGCTGTTTCTCTCCGATTCAGATATCTAAGGCTTTTTTCACCGTCTGTCATGACCTTTATCCATTTTAACTAGGAGTTAATGCTGTGAGCAGACTTGTATCTCAAGAAGGTCCTGAAGGATATCCCTGTATTTTTTTCTAACCCAATCAAGCAGCTACCTCAAAGCGGAGGAGGTGCGCACAGAGCCTCTCTCTATTTAACCTGCAGATTGATGGCCAAGCAGAGGCTATTTCTGCTGTATTTTTCGCTGCCTTGTATGTGTACCCCAGATGAGCTGAAAGGCCTGGTAAAGTGCTAACGCTCTACTGCTCTTCACTCTAGAAGGCCAGAGACTCCTACATGGAGGAAAGGAGGCGACAACAGATGGAAAGGGATCAGGCTTATGTGACAAAGAAGCTGCAGCAGGAGGGGTTTGCATCTCACGGAGACTCTCGGCGTCGACGGACACTGTTGCAGAAATGCACCGCCATGCGGGAAGAAAGAATCCAGGGCTTTCTACAGGCACTAGAGCATAAGAGAGCGGACTTCTTTGAAAGATTGTGTACAGTGTCTGCATGACATAGGTGCTGGGTGGTTCTTGGGAAGACAGTTTTTAACCATGTGAGAAATAACAGCTGCTGCCCAGAGGAATTCACTTGCTGTGGTTCTGCAGTGGGAATGCAGGGCTGCTACAGGACTTTACATCCCCAGTGGCCCGATCCAAGGGCAGAGACAGAGTACTGTGAACTTTTCTAGTTTGTGAATGCCACTGAGGAAGGTAATGTCATCTTTCTGTCTTGCCTCTGTGCCCCTGATGATAGAGAGAGGATACCTGCACCCTGCCCTTTCTCCACTGTCTAGTGTATTTTACAGGACTGGATGTTTTGGGGGCAAGTGGCTTACTAGAATGAGCTTCTAATTCTGTTAGGCTCCTCGTGAATTGGCTGAGGCAAAGCAATTCAGTGCTGTTAAATCAGGCTGGACTTGAATTTTTGTGTGGCTTTGCAGTGGGGAATCTTTTGGTAAGATTTTTCTCCACTGCTTCCATGAGGAGTCCAACTTCCATTCTATATGGAGAGGATTATTCCTGGTGTAAAGGGGGCCTGTGCCAAGCAGTGGCAGAGATGTTCCCTGCTGCCTCATAGCATCTTGTCTTTTTTTCCCCTCCTCACTGTGCTGGGCTTGATATATTTGCTCTTGACTTCCAAAGAACTAAACCAAGGTGTTAGCCTCGCTGTAAAGAAGGTACAAACCTTCACCTTGCTGTCAGGTCCCGTGAAATCCTAGCAGTGGGGGCAGAGGGGACCCAAATGCACCAAAAACATAGATGCTGATACTGGAACAGACTAAATCTTTTGAGGGAGGAGGGGGAAGGCTCCAAGGAGGCAAGGAAAAAGGATCAGTAGGGAGCTAAATTCATGGCTTAGAGAGAAAAGTTAGCTAGCTAAAATCAGGTGATGGTTACGGTATGCCGGATTCCTCAGAGACCTGTCTAAAGGTATGACTTGCCATCCTGTTGCCAGGGTACTAGGACAGGGTTTGTTCAGCAACGCAGTGGCCAAAACCAACCTCTCGCCAGTCTCAAAATGGTTTAAAAGTGCTATACAGCCGATTTGAATGGGAGTGGTTGGAGTAGCTGTGGAGTGGTGTTTGTTTTCAATTCTCTATCAGCAGGGAGATGGACTAGCTAATCTCCAAGATCATTTCTGTCTCTTAATTTATCCTGTTTCCGTCCCCACAGTAAAAAATCAACAGAAAATACTGTCTTGCTTTTGTTTCTGCTGCACATACAGGTGCAGCAGTCACAGCCATTGCTCTTTTTAAAGAGTTCCTTTTTACCTCCAGATGAGAACTAGAAAATGCAGATTTAAAAGATTAAGTGCTGCAAACTCAGTACACTGAATATAATTGTGAAGAGGATAATTAAGTTGTCAAACCATGAATAAAGCATTTTTGTACCAAACATTTTTAAAATAAGCTGAGCATTTAAAACTATACAGAGCTTCTTTTCTAAGTTTTAATGAAGTTGGCATCCAGGTCTAATGTAATGTTGCTTAACCTGACAGACTCCTTATCTGATTCATGTTAAAACAGAAAGGATTTCAAAGCTGTATTCTTTTACAGTACTATCTGAGCAATTTGCTGATGTCCCAAGACTTGGCTGAATGAAGCACTGTGCAAATGCATCCTCTTGCGTAAGTAGCTAACAGTAGCTTGGGTGAAAGTATGCCCAGATGATGGAAGCTGTCAATTTGAACTTATTTTGTGGTATTTTGTTTGTCTTTACATTTTTATTTTCATTTCTGTTTTTATTTTGTCTCCCTTTACATTTCAGGAAGTTGTCTGGGAAATAGTTCTTATTCTCTGTGAGACTGAGCACTCTCCAGTCTGTTTTGCCAGGCAGATAGGGAGATTGCCTTCTCTCCAACAATGTGCATTTGCCTTGGAAAGAGGGAGGGGGAAGAAAAATCAGTTGTGTTACGATAGCATAGACAACCAGAACTACAGTGGTGACCTTCTGCAAAGAAGTAGTACTGTTGCAGCTATGGTAATTGACGGATGAAAGCTACACAAGGTTTGTAGGGAGAGTTTTGATACTCCTTATAAGGAGTGAGTAGTTGAGCTGTAGCTGAAAAATATCAAACCTTCAGGTCCACAAGACCTTCAAGTGGTGGTGGGGAGCTTATGGTACCTGACAGTTTGTCTTATTCCACCTGCATCAGTTTTCTAATGAAATGGTAACTTTGCCTGTAAGCTTTGCCTCCTTAAAGGGTGGACGTAAGTCACGAAGGCGAACTCCTACTTCTCAGGAGTCCGTCTTTCCAGGGAATCTTTAAGTGACAGTGGTGGAAATAGAGCTCCCACCTTCTTTGAGTGAGAATCCAGCTTCCCTAATTCAGACGGCATGTGTACGTTGCGAAGGTGTGAATAATCAGCACATGACTGGAAAAATGTGCTCTTCTTGCATTTGAGAGCTGAAAAAGCCTGAGAGCTCACCGGGTGAGGGGAGCGGGGAGGTGTGCTTGCTGTGCTGTTCTTCCAGGTAAGGTTCCATCAAAGGCAAAAAGTTCGGGGCGGGAATGAGGTGCGCGTTTCCTAACTGGATGCTCCTTTTGTAGCAAAGCTACCTCAGAAAGAGGCTGCGCCTGTAGCCAAGCGTGAGCAGTGTCTCCTTTTGGCGAGAGCCTAACTTCGCAAAAGCTGCTTCAGCCTAAGTAGCCGATGCAGTGAGATTTCACCTGGGGGCATTGCTTTAGTGTAAACTTTCTTGTATTTTGGTAAGGTTTGGGCTTGCTTGTTTGTATTTTTTTATTCTTATTTTAAGCACTACCTGATCCACCTCCCTCTACCTTTTTTTGGATGTAATTCTCCCCTCGACAGGGGAAAAAGGCCTTAAGTAGCCGATGCAGTGAGATTTCACCTGGGGGCATTGCTTTAGTGTAAACTTTCTTGTATTTTGGTAAGGTTTGGGCTTGCTTGTTTGTATTTTTTTATTCTTATTTTAAGCACTACCTGATCCACCTCCCTCTACCTTTTTTTGGATGTAATTCTCCCCTCGACAGGGGAAAAAGGCCCCGGGCCAGGGCCGAGCCTCGAGGCCGGCCGCCCGGGGGGTGCGCGGCG